CACAACCCTGGAACGCAAGAATTAGATTATTCTATTCAAGCTCACTTCACCGAGGTCAAGACCACTCTGACCCATCATCCAATATTCTGAACCCTTCTCTATTCCGTAATGATCCTCCGATTGCAAGCAGTGGGGTGCGAATCCCGCTTTTTTAAGGGCATCATCAGTGTGGCACTATGGACTGCATTCAGTTCTAGTCGGGTTAACACCAAATCGCCATCAAGCTTGTTTTCTGTGTGATCTATTACAAAAGCTAATAAAATATACCGCACGTGGAAGCGCTCATCCGTCTATTTTCAGGCAAGATATATTAGCCGGACATCAAGTATTCGTCCTGTACCTAGTGTGAAGAGGCGTTATCAACAAATTGATATCTACTTCTTTAGAAGAGACTGTGGACACAAAATAACCGACAAATTAGGTCGCAGCGACGTTTATTTGATTCGCTTGTAGGCAGCTACTATCCGACTGACCTAGCAAATCAGCCTGTTTAGTGACGCAGAGAGACCTGAGTTATCAGTCATGAGAATGTCCTCTGATAACCTCTAAGCTGACGATGATGGGCACATCTCGATATGCCGCATGCATGCACTGAATCTGACCGATGGTAACGAAAAACCGTTCATTTTGAGACTCAGCTGGTGCATTCAGATAGTCGAGATCAGCAGCTCTTTTTACTGCTATAAAACCTTACCAGCAACTAGCGACTGCGCAAGTATATCTCTAAAAAATCGGGTATTCAAGAGACCCAAAAAATGACAAAGAATGCTGATTAATTGCGGGGGCTCAGGCTTTTGTTGAAGACAATAGCCATATCGGGCGAGATGGCTGTGGTTAGAGCACGAATTTACTGACCGGGAAGTCCGTGGTTCGAACCCGACCTCTGCCTCTCGCCTTCCCTTATCCAGACTTGGGCAACTTGGAAGTATCCCAGCCTTCGTGCTTCCTTCGGGTGGCTTGGCAGGCAGACACCGAAACGGTGTTATAGCTGAATACTCATCAAAGCCACATCCCATCTCAGCTGATTTGATCAACTAACAGAGGACAGATGTCAGCAAAACAGTTTGCGAAAAAGATCGCTTCTTCAGCAAGGGGATGAACGCTTTGAGAAACAGTTCAGCTGGCCTCTCTAACCTGACTAGCGGAAGAATGCAATCAACCCTAGTGGGCCATCGACACGAGCCCGCCATTAACGCAGGAGTATGGCGCAAAAGATTCCGGTCCGGATGGTTTACATCCCGTGCTGCTCAGAGGGCAGTAAAGTCATGGGGAGCAGCCTGACGACCTTACTGCGCATAGCCGCGACCAGAGAGAGGAACAGTCTACGACCATGCAAAGAATTACAAAGAAATAAGACAGTAAGCTCAGTCCGGTTGACAATAGTCACCCCTGGATGTGGAGACTGAGACTCAACTCATCAATGGTTGACATTGGCAGAAATGGCTCAGTCACCAAGTTACGTGGCGCTGCCGTATCAAAACTATCGCATCTGATACGTCGTTGCCCAGTTTCCCGTTCCTTGAAATAATTAGACTGGTTTAATACGAACAAATTGACTGGACCATCGCCTCCAACGTTTGGGCATGTCTTTGACTCTCTTCAATTTTCTGGTGGCCGAAAATGTAGCAACTGGGAGCAACGTATCCTCTATACATGATTTATGACCGTCAAACCGAAATGAACCAAAACCGAACAGGAATCCTGGTCACACAAATTTGGAGTCTGGAAACGCCCCCTTCATGTTCAATAATACGAGAGATGGCATCATGCTACGCACCACGTCGGTTCAGTGCAAGGACGACCGGTATGCCTTGCAGGCCGTATATTGAAAGTACATGTTATCTGGTGCGATTGGGCCATGTGAGGCCTTTCAGTACAGTAGTCAAGTAGACAAAATATCAGTAGAATGGTCGCTCCAGCGGACTACACACCTTCATGTGCACATAAACAAGTGAACGGTCTCTGTGCACTTGTAATGGATAATGGGATCCCCAAGGACATGCACTAAAGTTCTATCTTTCAGTTATTCATCGAGCAAGGAATCTTAGCGATTCTCTCGTACTTGGATGGATAAACGGAGCTACAAAGTCGAGGCGGATAGGTCCGAAAAAGGAACAGATTTCCTAATCAGTCTACACACTATTTAGGAGTGCGATTCAAGTCGGACGGGAAACACAGAAAGAAGCCTATGGGTGAATATCATCTGCTTTTTTGAGGCTCTTATGTATAATGACCACCAAACAGCAGTGTTTCGGTGTATACAAGTCAGGGTCAAACTTGTCTTATGGGTCGCCAAATTCACTTGATCCCGACGAAGAAATGGACTGTTCTACATCTCTGCAGGGGCACCAGAACATCAAGCAGCTGTTCCAGTAGCTGCAAACCAAAGCTACAGCGGGGAAACTGGCTTCGAAATTTTCCACAAGATATCGTCGATTAGCGGTAAAACTAATTTCCAAAGCTAAAAGCCTCCTGTTCTGAGGCAGTGTTTTCAACATATAAACACTCGGGGGACAGACTGTAAACGGAGCAGGCAACATGACAGCCACTTGGTATTAGGTGTGTTGAAAACCTACCATCATCACCAGTGTGCCTGACTAAGGACCGTCAATGAAACAACTAAAATACCAAGGGTGCGGATGCAGTCCAGCTGGTTGAGTAAAGTCAATCACGATTTACACAAATGAACAAATAATACCTAAAGCATTGCAGTCAGAGTTATTCGTTTGCGGGTACTTAATCTGCCAGTTGTTGTTACGTTAGGGCGGAGAACATTATTCAACACACGCCCAAACACGAGTCTGCCGCCTAACAGTAAGCAAACGTGAGGGCATTGTGACAAAAGCGGCGATCGACAAACATGCCTAGAAAAAAGGCATATTAACGATTACCGTAAAAGTGTGGAATTAAGGAACTGGTTTCCGTTTTTTGAAAGCCGATCGCAATATCGAAGCATTCATAAAGGTGTTCAGCTATTAACCACCAAGTTTACGGTGTGCCTACCCAGGACAGATCAGGACGGATCACTGGAATCATGAACACAGCGGCAATTATTGGAGTCTTGGCAGTCGACGCCCATGACTGAAAAACTCACCATTTGGGAGTTTTTTTTCGGCTTAACAATCACTGTTAGGTGTTGGCTAAACACGACTAGGTGACTCAGAGCCACACTCGATGGGGACAGATATCTGGTGATAGATACTGGAATACGGTCATGTCATGCTTGATTTTTTCCGAACATATCAGGGCAGAGTACTGACTGTCTTCATAGAAACAGACGCCCGACTTTCACAGATCGGCTAGTGTACGGAATCTAATTGCCGCCCGGTACTCGCCTCTACATTAGTCGAGCATTTCTACTGCTAACGGAATGCCCCATCGATGCGTTCCGTTGACTGAAACACACGGACCTGTCTTTGCCGGTCTTTAGACGCACACTCAAAAGTTGCCTCAAAGCACGGTTCCAAAAAAGGAAACTTATATAAAATTGTAGCATTCGACGTCCGTTTTGTTAAGATCTGTTTAAATAAACTCAAAGGCCACTTTGGTTGCGGAATCCACATTCTAATGGCTGCCATGGATCAGTCTGTGAATGCAGTGGTAGATTTCGCGGATTTTGGTTCCTTTACATGGTTCTCCTTTATTGCATCTGAAACTGCATGAACACTAGCTACTTCGTAGTTGCCCGCTTAAACTTAGAGGATTAACAATTCACGGCCTATGTATGGTAAAGCTTTGTCGTTGCAACAGGCGTCTCACAGGACCAAACCGAAGAAGCCGTCAAAGCTAGTGAGTTTGGTAGATTTTTTTACCATAGATAGTACACGCCACACCGGGTGCTCTGCAAAGTTCTACCCCCGCAGGTATGATGACTCCTTGATGTTTACGTCCTAGCACCATCTGTTTCTTTTTGAAAGGCTTCCTGCTTACGGATGTCTGACTTACGATGAACCAAAGGAGAGCAGCGCTCTGCCGCACGTTAATCCCATCAACACTCACAGTTGAGCACGAAAATTCTCTAGCGTTTCTCGATTACCCACTGACCTGATTCAGCATGAACGGTCGAAGACATCGAAGGTGTCTGCTGCTCGAATTCCGTGGGGACGGACAAAGCGCCGCATGATGCATCACTTCGCCCATCGATTGCCAAGACATGCCTACCTCGATATCCAATCAGCTTCTTGATAATAGAAGGCCAGCTATCCTGGGTGAGCGGACACATCCACGTGACGAAGCACACAAAGGAAGTGACATCGAAGTGCGTCATTTTGCACCGAAAGCGAGCGAGCGCGCGTGCGTTCCGATCAACGGAAAACGCTGATTGGGCGCTTCACCAAATTAGCGAGCAGAAATCACACGTCCATTTCCAACCCTATGGGAGATGACAGAACGAGCTAGGCATACAGCCTTGCTTGCTCACCTTGAGCTGACTGACGTCCCATCGACACAATGAGCGCAAAACACTTGTCCTATGTGTAGGCACACCAGACAACCGAGACCGTGATATCGCTAGAATTGGCTTTCCACTAACGTTGTCGAGCGGGATACACCGACTGATGTTAACTGGCCGTCTTGCGAACGGTGTGGGAAGCCCACAGAATATGGGTTTCAAATGTTTCGTCCTCACAATTTAGCAATTGAGCATCCTGGTTGTTTTGAAAATCCAACTCCTATTTGATATGATTCAACTCATTCAGGCGTACACCGGGTACAGGCGGTTAGGCGTACACTACATGCGGTTGAACCTGGGCTGCCGCAGGATCTATCTCATAGTGCGAAGTGGCAGGCTAACTCGGAAACAGATCTGAAGCTTGGTTATCAGATTCTTGCACCTGAAGTGCAGACGTAGCATAATTTATATGATGAAACCGAGTGTTGGTATTTAGCAAATGCGTCAATCAGGGTGGACGGAACAGGTGTGACAGACTGCACCAACAGAATCCTCAACCATTATCCTTATTGACACGTCCTTCAGTTGGGCCAGTTTGTGAACCTAAAGGATGCCACAGCTGGACGACTTGCTCGTAATCCAACGTTTTCAGACAAAGTCAGGACGCCACTTCTCAGTGGACCATCGTGTTGATCGCAGCTCACCAGGCTACCGAGCAAAGTTCGATGCTGAATTACGACGCTCAAACCCAATGGAAGCAAGGTGTCCAACTAATGATAATCTGACTCTGTAGCGGTGGAATAGGTCGCCAGCTACACTTACGCAAACACACCAAGTAGCCGTCTCAGAAGACAATATACTATGAGCTGTTCGGTGCGTTTTCCAACCATCGAATAAAGTAAATCCCTCCTAAGTAACCGGCTCTCAATCGTTCAGCCCATCAATATCCCTAAATGAATTAACATGCAATAAGGTAACGGAGGAAATTCCAAGTCCCTCATACCAGTGAGCGCGAGAAGCGGGAATTAAGCCAATTCCGTAAGTGGCAAACAATCCGTTCAAGGTGACGACTTCTCAGGTACACAATCAACCTGATTCGCATGTCATCAGGAGCTAATACGTGTTTCACATGAAATAACCGAAGTGAGATTAACTAAGTTTTCCGTAGGGCGTACGTACGGTCGATTGGTGAATGGTATGGGGTCCAATAAAACGGAGAGAATAGCCGGCCGAAAGACGATCTCACACAGTTCGCTCGCTAGGCCCGAATTTACACTATCTTACCCATGGTTAAGTGGGAAGGTGCCGCTTCCGAAACAAACAATTAAGTGAATAGGTTTAGTTAAGCCCGTAAATGACAAATAGAACCCAAACGAATGTAAGAAAATGTAATAGCTAGGCACGAACGGATATGCCTACATGATTGCCAATGGAAAGTCAACGGAAGTGGCCGGTGGCATGAACTTACAAGCGAACGTAAGAGTCAGAGACTGGCAAATTAACCCATGAAATAGTTGAAAAAGCTGGTAAGGGCGACATGGGCACAAAAAATCGGGTTGAAGAGTACCACGTCTGATTACCACTCAACTGAACACTGCGAAGAATAGTGTGCATGGGAAAGGTGTCTCTGTACTGTTGAGCGGGAAGCCATAAGTGGATAGATATGTCCTGAAGAAGAGACAAACTGCAGGGGCGTACCCGAATAGGTACAAAACGGTGAAGTCGGAGTTCACGAATGGTACTCGGGAAATAACCAAGAATGGGTAGTGGAATGAAGAGGCAAAAAGGATAAGTCATGCGTAATCACCGGACCTGCAGACAATGGTAGCAATGAGATGCTGTTAGGCGAGTTACATTCCGTTGACTCCATCACAATGGCTTGATGTTATAGTCAGTGCGGTAAATCGAGTCGGTCTCCGAAATGAAGCGCTTGCGATGTCTACAAAGGGGGAGGGGGAAATAAGGGGATGTGGGTTGGGAAGTAGCAGTTAGTTCACACGTCGATCTGGCAATGACACAAAAAGACGCTCTGTGTTGATACAAAGAGTGAAGTTCAAAAGAGCTAAAAAAAACGCACATACACTTCGGTAATAGTGTAGCTCCTATACGATATCACATGTAGTAATCCACCAGAACGGAGGATACTATGGGAACCAGAAATCGCCTGCAGTTTGCAGTCCGTCCCGCTTTAGAGGGAATTTCGCACCAAATGATGGGTCTGGGAGGTCGCTATTGTGATCTCTTCGTAGGTGTACTCCAGGGGAATTAAAGCAGACTGAATCAGATTAACAATGTATGTAATTATTAAAGTAAAGCTTGTGTCAATCACTAGGTGGTTGCAATTACACCCTACGCTCTCTTAAGGCACCCTCGAACTGGTAGCCGGTTATCCTTGGGGATGCGAATTGGCCTTGCCAGAGTTGTTCGACCATTTATTCTGGTGCAACATACAGGGCCAAAACAACTCAGATGTAGCGCTCAATTATGCACAGTTGCGTGCCAGGGTAACGTCACTAGCCAGACCTCTGCAATAAGTGACTCAACACAAGAACAGTTGGCCTTGACAACTGTCCTAATCAGACTCGAACCATGAAGTTCTCTGTTTTCAAGCTCCTACAGACAGTGATGCACACTATTCACCAAAAATGCGTACAAAGTGTTCGGAGCCCAGCCGTCCCTAATAACCGAACATCACATCATTTGGACGGATGTGTCACGTGCAGGACACGGACCAAACGAAGGCATGCCCTGATTGGCCAGAATGTCAGCCAATCCGGGTCGAGCATCCTTGACTTGACGCTTCTCGCCCCTCACGGTGCTTCTAGCAGGACCTTGTGGAACACTGTGATTACCCTATAAATACAGATGTAATGATTCTCTTTTTGTCTCCACAAAGGGCTGTGTAGAGCTACCGTGCCATTTTGATATACCGTAGTGGGCGGAGCAGGAAGCCAAGAGTTGCACTACCGTCCAGCAAGGCACAACACAAAACGACCACTTGTATCCACACACAGGACTGCTGGACGTCTGTAAAGAGTTTGCAACTGTTATGCGACATTTCAAACTAGCTCCTCACCGAAGGTCAACTGGCACTTTGTCACACCAGACAGTGCAGTTTTAAACGGTGATCCCCAGGCTTTCTCGCTATGCCACTCGACCGAACTTTTTCGCATGACCGCAAGAAGCCAAAGTGATAAGGTAGACAGCTGAATTGAACCACAGGCATTCCAGGGCGTGATGTTCATACCTCGTGGTCCTCCTCGAAGTGTTGCGATGAGAGTCGTGAGCATACGATGAAACTCCCGGTCTTTTTGGTTCTCCCTGACGGCCAACACTGCTATTCCCAGATCTTCAGCTACCGGCTTATATTTCATAATCACTCTCCTACCCATATGTACATAATCATCACTTTGCTCTTCAAACTAACGTTTCCGAAGAGAGTTATGGAGCAATGATCTCTATGCTTTCTACGTGCTGACGGCCTATTATGCCGGTTCTCACTCGTCATCAGGTCGGTTGCTACCACAAAGCGGACTGTTGATCAGTTGAATCGAGCACTGGAACAACGTGCGAATGCAGTTGGCTGCATAACACGATTGAATGGGCGGCTAGTTGTCGTCCCGTTTATTCGGATTCACTTCTCATTGTTGTTTGGAATATGTGAGTAATTTAGTAAATTAACTTCACGCCACACTGGTTTGCCGCCATAGGTGAAAAGTGCATCCAGATGAAGCGATGAAAAACCGTATAAAACCGGAGTTGGAACAATTACGGGGTGAGTGAAACTTCATTTAAAAATACGAGCTTTCTGACACCAAAACGCCTTCAGTGGAGCAGTCACCTGCAAGCATGAGGTTAGGGTTCGATTACGTCCAGTCTTGCAGTAGCACTGTACGCGCGCGAAGTGCACACCTAGCTGTGGAGAAGCATTATTTCGGTTATTTAAAATGGCTTGCATTTCTAGAGGACTTGACCCAAGAAGAGCGATGTCATGGGTGTTTTTACCGTCCGTTAGCGAACACCCCGGGAACAGTTTGATATCACTGGGAGCTTCTTTGAAGAGTATAAGATGCAAACCATCTGAACCAGGTGCTTTGTTGAGCTGAAGCAATGAGATTACAAGCTGAACCTCCTCTGCAGATAGCAAACTGGCATCCACTTTCCACAGTTTCATTCCGTTCTTCCACATATTCAACTGACGGTGGCCAGCTTAACTGTTCTTCAGCGTTCTTCTCCATCGGTCAAGACGACTTTTCTGTGAATGAATCGAGATCCTCACTTTTTCGGATAGTTTCACAAACCCCCATCCTTCTCGGGTCAGTTTACTGGATGAACTGTAACTGGGTGCATTTGTTTGCTGTTACAAAAGCTCTCTCCGTTTCGTGGGCTTTTACAGTCAGTCAGCACCCTCAGTCATCCCTCGGGCTTGTAATTCGGCATTTGAGGGATCTGAGGGTCCCATTAGTTGTTTGCTGCCGGTATAACTTTCCTAGCCTCACTTAGAGCCGCTGAAGGTGATCCAGTGTTCATTGGACCGTGTGAGTGACCTCGGGCAGACAGTATCAAGGGTTGCAAGCATGGTCTCTTTCAACTTCTGTCTTTCAAAACATTGTGCCCGTTGAGTTCTTGGAGCTTATCAGGCAACTCAACTCGATATTGTCGAGCTCGTAGGTTATGAACTGAACGACTTTTCATCCACCGATGTATCCGATAAGGAACGCGAACAGATACGCATGCCCGCACAATGCCGTGATCGGTGTCCGGACACCGGAACAGCACCCGTCAAGTGACAGGAATAGAGATGAGGAAAATAAGTGTCATGGTTGGACATCACTTTAGGAAGGCTTTTGGAAGGTTCCTCACGCAAAAATCTGAAAAAAATTCGGCTCCTTCTGACACTGGCGCCCGACAGTGGCTGAAAACCGTCACGCTATTACTGGACGATCTTTCAAGCTGAAAGTAAATGCCATTATGCAACTTGTAGAGACATTGAGCACTCAAGCAGGACAAGTGACTAGTAAACAAAGGGGACATTCAGAACGTCGTCGGAGTAAAGGAAAAAGCATCAAGGAGCCTTATAGAAAGGTGAGGATCAGTAATGAGCTCCCTAGATTTTGCCGTAGAACAAGTACCGGCCGTCAGTGTCTAACTTAGCGTTAAACAACAAACCAAAGACAAGTAAATAAGCTTTAAAGGAATTTCGACACCGAATGGACCGGAAGTTGTGAATACCAGTACCGATGAAACAGTCTTGGTGGTTTGCTTGTGGTACATGGTACATAAATACAGTGGGACTCAAGGTTACCAATCAAACTCGTCACTTGGTATTGTGGCACTTTCCTGGATATCACACTTGTCGTGGCAGTTTAATCCTGTTAAATAGGGAAAAATGGCTTTCACGTACAAACTTTTTCGAGATTGTAAGGGAAAAGGGCAGCACCGGCTCGAAAACGAGCCCCAGATGAACTTACTTGACAGGCATTTCCGAGACGAGTTTCTTTGGCAAAAAACCGGCTGCATGTGCGGCAGTCACAAAACGCTCCATAAGCGTGTAAGCAGCTGGAACATCCAGTTGTAAATCCGGTAATTCGGCGTAGACACGCCTTACGCCGAGCGCCAGTTGGTTGGGAGTAATCACAACTGAATGGCACAACTCCTTGAGCAGTCGGACGACGCGTGCACGTGCAACGTCAGTGCTACGTTCGATCGCCATTATTACAGCCTGCAGGCAATGACGAAAAGTTGAAGTCGCACTTAGGTTGATTCCATATGATGAAAACAAGGATGCAAGTGGCGTAATTGAGCTCTCGAATATGGCCGGAAAATGCTCACCATACTACTGGAGATAGGCCACATCTGTCACCAAATGAAATTTATTGAGTTTGAATGCACACACAACCTCACTGAGTATTGCTGCTCACATGTGGAATATTGAAAGCGAACAATCAAGTGTCGATGTGCTCAATAAAATACTTCCATCTATCAGCATAGTTTCGGTAATTTAAAAATAGCCGAAGATCCTGAAAAGCAGTTTTGAGCGAAATGCGTGACAAAAATACTGTGCGGCGAAGGTCCTGCAGACACAAGTTCAAAAATAGAGAAACAGGATGTCGGAAGCACCGACGACAAGGGATCAGAGACGGGAATAAAAACGTCAATCTCAACCAGATGCGACAGCCACAGTGCTGCATTTAGGTTGTGAATGCATGCGGCACAATGCAAATATAATGCTTCGGTTGTACCACTCTTGCAATTCTCCTGCTTTACACCGAGTATTAGTAATTCAAGACGAACGTAAAAAATTACATGAACATTCAACAGCGTTTGACAATTCGCCCTCTCTTCAACCCTATGGTTGTCAAATGACCCACAGACCTTCCATGTTGGTCAAAGCCACGCACAGATCGAACATCCACTACAACCAAATGTCAAAAAGATGTAGTTCAACAACTTGAGTATTGTACCAACCGAAATAGGTGGCCCGTGTGCAGCACATTCACAGATGAATAGTCCAAATGAGATTCAGTTTGTATTCAACTGAGTCCCCCGATGACATCAAATCACTCTGAAATGAGTGAATTTCGCCACTTGTGCTAGTTTGCGTTCAAAACATAAGGCTGACGAGAACACAGGAACTACACCTACCTGATGAACTCCAGTTGCGAAATCGATGGTGGGCCCGTTGAAGAGTTTTCAGCAACCTAATGAATAGTGAATATACTCCTTCGGTACTTTAGGCCACGGTTAAGGACGACAACCTGATAAGATCGACGAGTAGCTTTTGCATACGAAAAAAATGAGAATTCCTGTCACATGATGACCGTAGCCAACCCTATCTAATTAGAAAGCATTAGAGGGCATAGATTGTGTGGTGGTTGGTTTGAATAGTTTTCTTATGTGTCTTGAAATACGAAGCCAACCATTTTACCAGTGAAAATTAAGACAACTTGAAAGTAAAACGCCTAGATTTTCCACCCACACACAAATTAATCGAACCACGTAAATACGTACAAGGCCAGCAGATCCGAGGCATCCATGGCGCTAACTGTCCGGTAAGTCCTGGCAACTTACCACTGATCGACACACCTAGGATAGCGAATGAAACCTAGGAACAAACATACGCACATCGTTCAGTTATGACCACGTGATAATTCGGATGTGTTCAGTGTGCGTTGATGAATGTGACAAAACAGTCGCTCTGCAATATGGCCGGAGTGCGAATCTCCACACAGTTAACGATATGCGCTTCTAACATGTTCCTATGGGGACGAAGCTCGAGTCCTTTACTATGAACTGACGAGAATAATCCCACTGGAACGCAAGGACTATCCACGCAATTTATACGGACACATCTGTCAAATTCCGAGATAACCTGCAAGTAGTCTCATCTGAGAACGGAATCAATGAGAACAATAAGGAAACCGTTTTAAAATAAGCATGTGTTGAAGCGTTTCGTGGTACGCATTACCTGAAATACCACTCAGCTCCAAACTGCATTCCCATAAGGACTGGTAAGTTTCCTTCGTTCGGAGGTACTTCCAACAGCATCATTTCGATAATTACGAAGTTACCCACCTCACATACAATCTACGACTGCATTCAAAAGAATTCTATAAACCAATCAAAAACAATCCTGGAGGATGCCTGATAAAAGTTGGAGGTTATTTTGATACACCATGTTTATGTGATGATGTGGTCGGACCCCGAAGACATCGGTCAACTGATGCTCTTCGCCTTTTTGGAACACATCGGGCTGGCCCTGATGGCATCAGTCAAGGCTGAGAAACATCCGTATTTGAGTCTGGGCGAGACGGTCCAAGTGGTTAGAGCGCGAATTTACATCCCTACCAATCAAGTGGTCAAATTTGGTAATTACCAGATCTTCCTGTGAAGCTTGGTAACTTGTCAAATAAATATTCTGACTATTCACATCTAGGGAAACCGTTCTAAATCAATGACCGATTAGAACAGGGCCCGCTTTGCACCATGCCTTTCCCTACACTTACAGACAATTCCACCCACCGGTTGCAGGTATATTTCCAGCTTTGTGACGGAACTCTAAAAATATGAAAGGACAGCCAGGTCTTCAAAGCCATGGCATTTCGAACATTTTGAAACTACATACATCCTAGTGCATGAAACTAGGTCACCACAAATATATATGGATCGTACTTACACCGCAATGTCGGAAATACGGCTCGTATCGACTAGTAATCATAGCAACTGCATCAACTGTGTTTGCAGCACTGAAGTGAAGTCTGATGGAATCAGAAATGCAACTCTGCTAGGTTATCATCCTAAGCAAGCAGCTACCACACACCAATGTCTGCGCACTTCTAGTTACTCCTCAAATGACACTGTTGACCAATCACACAATAGCTTATAAGCCGAACAATGTCAGGAGCAGCAAGATACTAAACGATGTGACATAAGGATGAGGGTGCCAGGACGATTGTCCGTCAAACGACCATCTACAATGCAACCGAATTATAACGTAATACCACCATCAGACTCACCATATGTAGAATTATTTCAGGTACGTATTAAATGGTGAAGTGTCGGCAGCCTAAGAACTTTCGGTATCTGGTGAGGAGTACAAAGTGGCTTAACCAGAATCATGAAATCCCGTTGTCACTGCTAAGCGCGACGGCTGCACATGCAAACGATCTCGCGCATTGATGGTAGTGTTAAGTTACCTTCAGTAGCTACAGCGCTCATTCTGAATGTCTAGTGCAATCAAACATATTCGCTTCATAATTTGTTTCCGTTTGAGTGGACAGTTTAGGATGTAGGATGATGGATGTCACGACAAGCGGCAAAAAAGGTTAGTGTAAGACGTTAGCGACATACCTGAAAGACCAACTCATGATGGAAGTGTGGGGAGTCAAGTTCCAGCAAAGCATCTGTAGCCTCTTCCAGATCATCCGATTCCATGAAGGCTTTCAACAGACCTTGGATCTTTTTTATCAAGACCTTCGTTGCCTTTGGTCCAAAAGGAACACCCCAAATGTTGTCCAATCGTGCAAAGGCATGGCTCAGATTGAGCAGATCTTCTGCCCTAACCAAAGCCTCCAAGGCGACCTCTGGGCGAGTTACCATCGAAGCACTGAGGCTAGATGCTGAGCCAATCCCGCTACTGACAGATGTACCCACCATTTGATCCATGCTTGTGTGATGCAGGCCATTGCTGCTGTCACTAAGGTTCCGTGTTCCCGGGCGTGATGGGGCGTCCGGAGTGGAAAGACCTTGTTCAAAACCAACAGACTCTAGTGTGTTAACCGGAGGCGCAGAAATAGGCGGTGACGCACCATTTTTGGAATCACCATGGCAATGCACAGATGCAGGTTGGGAGAATACAGCTTTCTGGAACTCGATGAACTTGGGAGGGAGTATGTCATCCACCATGGCTCGAGCAATGAAGCGACCAACATGCTGAAAAAGTTAACGAGGCAGGAAATCACACTTCGAAAGTGAAGACAAGTTAGTGTGCCTAGGTGTCTGTGCTGCATAAAAACGAGACGGTCTTAAGCACGGCAAGGGCATGGTAAGTTTCTCTTTCTGGTTAGAACTTGTATAGAAACCAGAAACCTTTGTGTTCACTAATCTTGCTACTTAGAAGCCGAGATCAAACCAAAGTAAAACAAAGACTGTTTCGAACCCTAGTTGCGCTTCGAACTCTCATTAGAGGAAACTTGTGACACAAAACCAGTATTCAAATTAGTCGCTTAAAGCCGTTTGATTAAAACACTGCAAAATTTCGCATCGCACCAAACTTTAAATGTCAGTGGCAGACAATAGCATCCAATGAAATGAAGAAGAACGATTGCCGTAAAACGTCGACAGTGCATCCGAAACAGCACTTTTCTTAATTATATGCTGTTCAGGGTAGGTGACACTAGGATGAATATGCGGTCATTTTTTGCTGCGGAATGAAAATCGCTATTGATGTCTTTAAAACTATGTAACTAGGGTTCAGAATGCACGACGATTTTTCAGTCCGAAACGTTTCTAATATGTACACAAAAACTCATCCGTACTCATTGCGGCCCGCAAGCGCGGAGAAAGTACCACCAAATGACTGAAGCCAACTTTAACGCATCGTGGTTTGACACTCAAGCTGAAGACACTATGTATTGAACAACACGTTTATGTTGGACAAAATTTTTCTAGATCCTTTGCACTAGTATAACCGAAGTTCACTTACTTCAAAGACTGATTAACAGTCCCGGTTGAAAGTGGCCAAGGTTCGAATTTCTCGATCTGAAAGCGCTTTTGGTTCATTTTTACGGAATTTTCAGACTACCCTAGTACAGACGACTTCAAACATATCGAATCTTCCCCAATACACACCCATCTGTAGCCTATATCATAGTCCATCTAGCGAGCCAAAGGTGCAATGAATAACAGTAGGGTCGACTGGTTGTAGTTATTTTTGCCCAGCCTACTGGCTCTGACCTATAAAGCACCTACGTTTTTGGATGAACAGATCTTGGCAGTCATGACAAGGTATCGAACTTAGGTTTCGACGATAATACTATCGTCACGGATGTGCGGTTATGCCGCGTGTGGTCAGCGGGGAGAATTTGTCATCATTACCGTGCTCCAACTCCAATTCGAAGTTCAGAGAACGCTAGGCTCATAAAGGCGAACGAGAACATAAGAAAAATGGATTTACCTTGAAAATCGGTTTTACGGTTACTGCACTACATGATCTGCTTCGAGATCGCCGTTCATTGCTTGTGACACCTGGAGAACGAAGACAAGGCTGTACATAGATGACTAGCTGTTGTTTGGTATCTTTTGCTTTTTGGTAGCAGATGTCGCTCTTCAACCGCAAAAAATCAATGCATTGTCAAACCATAACTGTTTTTGACAGCTCAGTGGGCCACAGCACCGAAGTAGTTGTGCAAAATGCATGTGGCCACGACAGTTTTTAACATCAACGCATGACTAAGTGTAGATGATATCAAATTAACCGCTCGGCTGTAGCACCCTCTCGGCGTATATCTGCCATCCAACCCACATGAGACACGAGGGCTGAGATACTGCCCAGCTGCTCAAGCTTATAGGAGCAGTTGAGATGCTGAGGATGGACTCGAACTACGAACCTTGTAATTTCGTGTCTCAACCCTTGATATCTCGAGCTCGTAGATGCATTTCACCATGACCAGAAACCGATAGCATCTGACAAGTGCTTTACTGCAATCAATTTGCAGTCCCTAACAGAGACAGCGCTATCAAACTGCACGACGATCACACAGAAAACGTAGGGCGGATAGTCCAAACCGGTTAGATCATTGCGGCGGAAATCCTGACTTGACGATACAACAATTGAGTTGTGCAAGGAATATTTTTACGTAGCCAACGGACAAAGCGAACTAGAGCAGGCAAACGAGAGACGATAGAGTCGGCCGATTGCTTGCGTAGCTGTCATAAATTGAGCGCACCAGGGCATAAAAAATCGTTTAGCTGTAGCAGCCTTCCGGTGCTTGAATGTCGTGCCACCCGAAGGTTGCACGAGGGCTGGGATACCGACAGGTTGCCCAAGCTCAGACAAAAGTCGAGAAGCACCGACCTTCCGGTCAGTAAATTCGCGCCCTAACCACTTGGGCCATCTCGCTCCTAGAAAGTATATGCGCCTTAGAATGCTTGTGCCAGGTCAATAACAGATGCCCCGCTATCACCCACTCTTTTTTCTCTTCTTTCTACGGCTTTCAAGTAAAGATAAACTTTGTGGTTGTGCAGCAGTGAAGCACCTCTGTTAACACCGATGTCGGTGTATCTGATGATGACAATGATGAGCAAACCCATCGTGGTAACTGACGTGTGAGCATCCTAAACACATGTCCTAGCCACCAGTTAGTGTCGGTCAGAAATGTACTTAAAAGGACAATAATAAGCGTCCAGCTGTAGCAGTCTTCCGGTGCCTAAATTTCATGCAAGAGGGATAGGATACTTCCAGATTGCCAAAGCTTGGATACAAGCAATCTAAATACAGAGATATGGTTTGAATGATGGAGCTTCCAGTCAGTAAATTCGCACTCTAACAGCTGAGCCACCTCGCCCTTTATAATGAACAAATAGCCCATGGCAACAATCGGGGACAAATTCGTATCGTATATGGGGAATTGTTTGTAAGGATTGGTGATAAAAAGCATTGAACATATTGTCTTCCAACCACAAAACTCGCGAAAAGTTTTCGTTCAGAAGCATGGTGCATTTTCAGAGTCAAAATACCTCTGGGTCACCGATAACGAAGTGTTGCAAAGGCCAAGCGAACTTTGGTAATGCGGTTAGTTATTCCATCTTAGAGACTCGAAGTGTTGCGACATTTATTTCGCCTTCATGGTTAGATCACCATCCCTGGCTACCCTTCTAAAGATACAGACGTCTCGAGCCACTAACCAGCCGGGATATAGGTATGGTCAGCAAGAATATGCTGCCTCCCTCATATGTCCTAATCTTGTTCAACTCCGTGGTTGGCCGGACCATGCATCAAGTTGCCCACGGGAAGTGCAAGGTGCGTGTTGGATATGACGTATTGATAATCGATTTGCGGGTGATCATCATCATCATCATCATCTCATCATCGACAGCATGACTTTATCGTTTTCACCACCGCATTCTATTAATCGGCGACAGGTACTCAACCAAGCTCACCTGTTATTTCACTGACGAGTTGAATATCAACGTTCCCCTCCTCAAACAGTCCCAAAAGGCCCCTTATGTGCTCAGCTGTACCCAAAAAGATATAGGTTTAGTCGGCCTATTGGAATACCACTGCCTATGAAGAAACAAGCAAAGCAGAAAACGACAATAAACCGAAATGCTAGATGATATTTGATGCTAGATGGCTTTGGCGAGCCCCACAGGCTGATTTGCCAAGCGTCCACAGATTACCAAAAGTCAAATGAATCATGGGATAAGAGTGGCAATCGTGAAAATGAATTTTGTGACGGAGAACGAAAGTCCGGGTCTATCCAGACCTTTATCAGTCTCAGCCATTCAGTAGTTTTCTTGAAATAAGAAACCCAGACAACCTGATTCAGGATAATGCAGTTCCGTTCACCAAGGATAAGGAAGTGACAGGACAGTGTAAATGAGGATCAGTGTCTCAATAAGTTTACTGACGTTGAACTACTTCAATTCCCTTGAGGCAACTACGTACCAGCGGTGTCTTTATTGTATGCGCGCCACAGTTTGCTGGAGAAGTGTGAAGTTACTTAGTTTATTTCAGATGGTTTGAGATGTATGACCAAGCCGGAATGTTGTACGGTGGCGTACAGATTCTCCAGTTCTCAACGTAGACGGCGTAGACAATGTGGTCTTGTTAGGACACGATCCTCCAGGCAGTCCACTTCACTAGTTAATTGTCGATGGAAGTAACTTGATTGAGTTGTTCACCACCCACGCAAGAATTGCTTGTGCATGTCCGGTTTACAGTCCCACTACAGCCGGCTCTCGCCAGCGAACAACTAGTTTCGGATTGTTTAACTCACCTATAAGGCTAAATGTTGAGTATAGAGATGGCATTCTGAATCGTGAAAACACGGTAGAACGTCTTCAAACTTCGACATCTCTGGAAACGGCGTGACACAAACCTCCTTCTAAGAGAATGAATGTATTTTGTACCAATCAGACCGACAACTATCTGCGGATGCAAAAGCTGACGACTCATGCGGGTGCTATGTAACGGCCGTCTATATTCGACCATTGCTGTTCATGGAGTACTTCTCATACTTGGTAGGAGTCCCATAATTAATTAAAATACGGCCAGTACAGCGGTTGTGATGTCGTACGCTACATGACAGTCATTTGCCCCGATCAGTTAGACTGGCTCAAAGACGTTCTAGGAATGCGACCACAACGACCAATTAAATGTGTCCTGTTCGGCTTACTGGATTTTGGAGTGAACGGTCCTGGACGTCATAAAGACTAACCAACAAAATGGATGCCATACAGATGACTCTTAGTGGGTCTGCAGGTGAATCCGCTAGGCGCCTTGGCCGAGACATACAGGATAGCGAGCAATTGTGGTTAGACACAGTGTTGTCACGATACAGAACTAGAATCATTGGCATATTTCTCTAGCTGATTTTCGTATTCCCGTTTTATTGCCATTCTCTAATGGCCAATTTCACAAAACGGTATAATTGTTGGCACAACGGTAGTTTCAAAGACTATTCCGCAGTGAGGGGGAAATAAAGTTAGTTGCACAGTAAAATGATTGTCACTAGGCGACATCCTAATGCCCTCCACATCACACTGAAAAACGAATGCTCGTTACTTTGCCAGATTGCTGTCCTTTAACTCTTCTAACATTATTGGATGGTGAGAAAACTCGATCCAATGTAAACTGCAGTGACTATGTTAAGAGAGCCACCGCCAGGCACAAAGTGGGAACTCACTACATGTTATGAACACGAAAATAAATCGAAAGACTAAAGTATGGGAACACGTACCTCAGACGCCTTGGGGAAGTCAATGATAATTTCACCGAGCTCGCTAAGAACGAGTGAAAATCCTTGCTGCACGTGTGCCTGGTTGATTACTTTTCCACACAAGTCCGATAACAATTCAGATGTCAACTCGTATTGAGTTTGTTTATGTTGCAAAGCCATGGTGATAGCCAGATATGGAAGCCGCCGGCGCTGATGAGGGGCAAGGTTTAAGTCGGCCAAAGAATCCTAGAGAAATTAGGCAAATGAGGGAACGTAGGGTATCGTTTAAGAAAAGAGCACGTTACTAAAGTTAAACAGAATTAACAGTGATTTATAAACGGTAAGAATCCAGGTAACCCTATCCGACAAAACCCCTGGATAATTTAAACTGCTAGTTTTTCAGAGAAGAAAACCCTTGGATAATTTAAACTGCTAGTTTTTCAGAGCTAGTGTCCATCGGTGGGTAGAGAATAAATTCGTGAGCGCACTTATCGCAAAAGCATGAAACGGACATTTTGTTCCTAATCGTGAATGAAGCAGTTATACAATCTTGGTTTGTCGCTTCTCAAATGATCGTGCTTCTGACAATACTGAAGGGCTGATAATTACTCAAGAAGACTAAGAGTTCTATGTTATGACCATCTGGGATATATTTTGTCGCCTCTTGTGCCTGAAAACCACCATGACTGGGGCGATAGTACGCGGACGTTGTACAACTCAAATTATTCCAGTATACGACATCGAAGTGGACACCCCTCAAATCTAAGCTTAGATAGAAACTGATGGCACGAAAACCAACCAATCTTACAACCATAAAAACAACAACAGAAGCCTCTCGAATTAATCCTTGCAAAGCGAATCTCCGGAGTGATAAAAATGAGGATTCATCCGACTGCATTGGAGATGACCTACTGACGTGTGGTCACCTTCCCAGAACTCCATTGGTGGAACTGAGTTGATATCATTGCGAATCTCGAAAGCCCTCAACCGAGTTGGATGTACGGTCCGCATCGAACCCTAAAAGGATGGGAAACTTCTCCAGAATCGTTCACATATGTCTAAACATAGGCCCATTGGCACGCAGCTACTGAACACGCTACTTAGCATTCAAGGAGAAGCACTAGAAGTTGTGGTACGTTTTACGTATCCTGGGAGTTCCATTGATCTCGACTCCAGTGTGACAGATGGGGCCACTATACTAATCTCTAAGACTCGGGTTGCATCTGTAGATTTGAGGCAAATGGCAGCAAAACGGCATATCACTACATCTCAAGGAGGGTGTATGCAGCTACAGTAAGGGTTGTTTCGTCATACGGCTGAGACGCGTCTTCTTCGAGCAGCAGAACCGAGAAATCTTTGGGCCTGCGACAACTGTTGTCTCAGAGCCATAGCTCACGTGGGCTGACGCAGAATCCGCAGAGGTAACCATAAATGCACGGATGTGCAACAGGGACTTCAGCTGAAGAATGTGTCGAGCACTAAAAGCTGCGCTATTTAGGGCATATATTGCGCATGCCAAATAATCGTTTGCCGAAGTGCTGCTTTCTGTGCCCTATTCAGAGTGGCGGAAGCAGAGGTCGCCAACCTGACCTGGAAAGTATGGTAACGATTACGAAGTCTGAGTGCTGGTGATCCGACACACCCAAAATGGGGCCCACGGGATCCCCGTGGTGCGTGCCTGGAGACACTGCATGCTATGGCGGCTAGCCGATGTCGATGTTGTTCTTGTTAGTTCCCATCCAGCTTGCTTGAATAAACATCTGGAGGCGTAGGCACTTCAGAATGATTGTGATAGACCAGCACTTCCTCATCCATTTTCATACTTTTCCCTATAACACGACCTTCAAATAAATCATGAGTGTATAGCGGCGAAGCGTCAGTGTTGAACACTGATGCCGTGTCGATGGTGGTGCAGGTGGTAACACTCCAGCTGTCCTGATCCTGGCGTTTCCAGAGAAAGAACTAAGTCACACAGTATAATTAGCGCCCAGAGCAAGCAGAAAACCACCTACAGCGTGTAGGCGCTGAGCCCACACACCGATGCACGACCAAATTACTGCCCTCTGATGACGTCACCCGGATTAGTTTGCGACCAAACTGTCCAGCTCAACGAAGAGGATTAGGTTTCCGGCCACTTGGGAAATATTCTGAGTACTGAACGAGGAGGCTCATCGTCGATGATCTGGCATTGTTTGACTCGAGGAGCTAATCCAAAGTGAATTCCGGTGGCTAGGTTGATACGACTGTACAACACTGAAGCAATGGTACCCCACGCGGATACTGCTGTCAACGACTACACCCTTGGGACAGAACGCAGCGCCCTTTTTAAAATCGGTAGTTTTTGGTTGGCTACGTAGAATGAGCTTCAAAAAGATAGGCCATGAATTTATATATTGCGTTCGGTAGAAGAGGAAAACGCAGAAACAGGTGACAGTGGAAGTCTCACCAATGTAGCGTGTTTCCTCTGTGAAACAAATGGCGAAATACATTATCGACTGCTTCTGAAATTGACAACTTATAGGGTGGAGAGGACCTGAACTGGGAACTTAAGCATCGGGCGCGTTACTTATACGTAATCGGCTAGTTGCACAAGGATCTGCTCTAGAAACGAAAGTAGTGTGAGCAAACGGTTCTCAGCCTGAAATCTCGACCTATAATGATCTAATACAAATCTTCCAAGGTTCTCTAAATGACTAAAAAGTGGCAACGACAATGGAACCTGCCTACACTATGTTAACAATGCAACGTCCAAAAACGGCTAGAATGTATCACATAGGTGGTGGCATGTTGAAAGGACCTGAGACCTTTGTTGAATTCAAAAACTCAATAGAAACCGAAAGGGATGCCACAACCAGATGAATACAGGAAGTCAACTCAGAAGCTATCTCTCAATGTATTTTTTCGTGCACATCAGATCAGTTTCTAATAGTGGACGAAGCGCAACACGCTCAAGAGGCCAAAAACTGGCAGCACAGAGTGAGTGATGTAAAACACTACCCGGCTTCAGAAACTTGAGAAGTCCTCCACTTCAATGTCGGATCTACCGCACACACGAAAAACAAAAAAACTGTAACGGCGTAAATAAATGACTGACGGAGAAGCATTCCGGAACAAAAGGGAACGCCTGCATCCCCTGATCATGACAACCGAGGAGGTCAACTCAAGGGGGCCAATCTGTAGAAGTCGCGGTACTCCAGGTTTCAAGATGAAGCATCTGAAGACCGTTGGATACTGTCGCTTAGTGAGAGTTGTCCACCTACAGTGCTGTATTTGAACACTAATTTATCAGTTCCCGCCTATAATGCGCAGCTACCTACTCCACTTCCTTGAATCATCCGTGAACAAAACTGTGGCAGCTACAACCACCGTACGATAAGTACGCGATTACAGCTGAAAATGATGATATGCTCAAACGTAACTCCTCAGCCGCTTGATGTCCCATCGTTTTTGGAATGATCTGCAGAGATTTTCGAGAATTAACTGTACTCGACCAACTTTAGGAAAACATTAGCCACAACGGTACCCCCTTCGTAACTGATGTCCTCCGGTCTTTCTTCAGCCGGTTGGGACTTAGGATGTTTTGATCCTGTGTACCATCATGGCAGTTGTTCCTATGTTACAACCTATTTTCAGTATTCCCTCAAAAGTCTATACTTACAGTACAATCTAAACACTCAGTTGTAACATCCTTCCGGTGGCTAGCTGCCACACCACACGAGGCAAGCACGAGATGGCTTCACGGTTAGCGCACAGATTTCCTGACCGGAAAGTTTGTGGTTCGAACCTCAACTCGGCCTGTTGTATGGGTAGATGATGTGAGGCGTCTTCAGGTTTTCGACCACCGATGCCTCAGAAGCGTGGCTGGTTTCAGATGGCGTCAGCGTATCAGCAACGAGGCGATTAGAAAACGAGTATATGGTTGTGTTGCAGGCACCTCAATCCGGGAAAACATCCAGCATCATCGACTACGATGGTTCGGTCATGTGCTACGCATGCCGAAACACCGTCTACCGAGACGAGCGTTGTTCTCCATGCCTCCTTCAGGATGGCGCAAACCGCGAGGTGGACAGCACATGACTTGGCAAAAAGGCGTGAAAGAGATCACGAAGAGTTTGGGTGTT